CCTTCACTTTTTCTAGAGCCAAGCAAGCGTGAGCGGCGTCGTCACACAGGTCCTCACTGATGATGGCAAAGCTGTTTGTAGATTTTCTTATCGTCACTACACATGTAAATATCGAAACTTGTTTTTTTTTTTCCAGTGATATGCTTGCACTTCGTCAGGAAGCACGATGGTCCAGTTTTCAGCAAAGTCAAAATGAAAGACAATGCTCCCGCGTTGCATACACTGTTTTTCATCGTAGATCGCTTTACCTTGCGTTTGCCGGATATGGTTGTGAAGTACCCAACTTCCAACCGTCACTTGGTGACTTTTAGGAAAGTCTCAGGTTCCAAAGTTTTTTTCACATGGTCGCCGGACTCCCATGTTGCAAACACAATCTCTTCATCCTCCGGGATATCAAGTTCCTGGAGTGTAAGAAACTGGCCTTTTGGGCAGTGATCACAGTCTCCTTGAAGGCACAGTTCTGTTGCTGGGTCGCACAGAAATGCCGAGTTCATTTCACCAGTGTTGAATGTTGAGCCTGTAACGTTCTCTAGAGCGGCAATACAAAGATAATAATTGGCGCAGCGCACACAAACGCACACTTCCTGGTGTGGAATACATTGGACCCATCTAGGGCGCAACGAATAAAATTTCGTTAGCCCAACGCCGGAATCGGGATGCTTGTCTTTGTATATACGGAAGGCCTCTCGTATTGAGCGTGTCATGAAGCGCTTTGGCACGAACGTTTTCTCTCCGTTGAGCATGACAGAGATGACGTCCTTCTGGTTGGGACTTTGGCGCGAACATTGTAGCTCGTCTTTCGTGAAGTACTCTAGGGCAGCAGACAGGTTCTCAGGGCTCACCTTGCACCTCGTGTAAGGATCCGGCTCATACCACACGCCATGCTTTTCCTTGAGTTTTCGGGATTTACTGATGAGGTACATTGAGGCCTGTGGAATCATCTTTTGAACCTCATTCTTCGTCAGTGTTGACGGCAGGAGTGTAAGCAGTTGACGTTCCCGGAGAGAGGTGGCGGTTTCAAAGGACTGCCGAAAGTTGTCCACCCACTCAGTGCATGTGGAGCATGTTGGTTCGGACGACCCCGATGGTGCGTCCCTGTCGTACGCAATACGTAGCCTTGAGCGTATATTCTTGACAGCAACCTGCTCCAGTTCTGTCTGCTTTCTCTTGACATAGGCAGGCCTGTCCCGACTTCTTACGACGCTTGGTTGTCTCAGCGGCGACACATCTGTAGGTAGTATGCTGCGATTTAGATCTTCAATTGCTTTTTCAGCTGGCACAAATATGTCAGGGCACTGCTCTGAGCTTCGCATCGAGATCTCCTTAGTGATGTGCATGAAGCAATGGTAGCACAGGTAGTCCGTCGCACTCACTTTGGTGGAACAGTCAGGCGGAAGAATTTGCTTCAACGAGTTTAGGTCCAACTCGCCAACACTTCGAAAATTCCGCTGCTTTGGTATAGTCTTTTTGTGTTTGCAAAAGTAATCTGCACGAAACACTCATTCGGAGCTCCAGGACGTCTTTATAATGTATACATAAATAATAGAAATTAAACCCCAACTGATGGCATATAATTGCCAAGTGAAAGAACTACTGGGTGCACAAGTGACAAGTCCGAGGCTGAGGAGCTCACTCACTGCAAACGTACATTTGAAAAGAGAGGTCACAACTGAGGCTGTCGGCAAAGCTTGATCCACGTCAAAGGAAGAAAGAGGGAAAGTCTCCAGACAAAAAATTGTGGTCAGCGGCCTTCGAAAAAGACTTTCCGGAATCGCACTGTCGTCCCTCCACGCGCTGATATGAAAGCACCCGAGCTTCTACCACGTGGTTCATGACACAGCCTGAGCCATGTCGGCGACCGGTTCGTGAGGGGTTGGCGGTGGGGTTACGTTGATGGTCACTCGGATTAGCCCTTGCTGTACTGAGCTACCGCCTGCAGTGCCTTATCGCCGGCTGGTGTCAACAACGAGAACACACACACCCTGTCTACACCAAAACTACAAGCGTTCACCGCACACGCGTCGCCGCCGCTTTTAAGCTTTTGTGAAATTGCTTTCTCTTGCCGCGGAGAACCGCCTTATCTTAACTACGCGCCTGAAATCCTTCCAGGCGGGCGTACACAATATCAAGCGTTTCGAGAAATGCCCGTGGAGTAGAACTATGGGAAAATTCGGAGCCCGCGATGTCGATATCGTCGCCGTTGTGTTAGTACGCCGTCGCGTACTGCAGTCCCCCGTTGCGGGAAGGGGGGGGGGGGGGGGGGGCGGTCTTACTACGATAACATGGCGACAGCGTTTACACTCTATGTATTTACGCGAGGCTCGAGTATTTGGGGATAATGCTGCCGGTTGGTGTGCCCCTTTGTGCCTGATATTATCGCCCGTGACGCCAGCGAGTAAGATGGCGACAGGCATGACTGCTCAGTAAACAAGCGTCGGCGGCCATGTTTTGCTGGTTGAAGCGAACCCCCTTGTCCTTGACAGCGAGCGGGGAAATGCGAAAAAAAGATTGTATCGGCCGTTTTGCCAGAACTAGCGACGAGTGTCGTCTGCGGTTTCCGGCAACTATTTTGCCATAATCGTGAGCTTAGCGAGGAAATGATTTTTGCTAGCCACAGAACACTACCACGCAGAAAGGGAATGCTTGAACATGTTTTTGTTCTGGATATATATCAGGGATATATATGAGAGAGAGAGAGAGAGAGAGAGAGAGATGAAGGTAGAGCGGAAGAGGGAATAGCATATAGTGTCGCAGGAGAATAAAGTAAACAAAGTTCCTAGTGGCCGATGGCTGCATGATCTTTTCTCGGATCACTAGTCCGTAATATGATACCTCTTTGTACACAGTAGTTTCTCCTTAATTTAAGTGTGTGAACGATTTCTTTAGTTATCATTGGCCTCATCTGAATAAAAATATATAAAAGATGTGTGTTGGTTTCATGAAACTGGAACTCAGAGTCAGTTCTTGTATAAAACACTGCTAAGTGTAGGCTTTGAAAAAGGACCCTACTTTGGGGAGTTGTATCTTCTTTCTCAATAAAATGATGCAACATGTTTTTAATGGAAATGAATGCCGAAATAGAGTATAACAGGTTACCTAAATTAAAAAAAAAATCGAGGGTGGTGTTTTTTTTTTATTCGCATCGGAATTTTTCTTTGTTTGATTTTTTTTCCATGTTTGACTAAATACATCCTAACTATTGTATCACACAGATACCTTAGTTATTTTTAAAATATTAGCTATATATTAGTAGAATAATATCTGCAAATTATATCATAATGATTAAATTATTTCATGAGATACAGACCTCCAAAGTTTGCATTTGTCGTTCGAGCAGGCATGTTTGTCAATTTTTAGAAAAATAAATAAATTTTAAATAAATATGATTACTTTATATTACAAGCAAGCTATACCCATAGTTTGCGCCTAAAACGTATTAGAGTTCTCCTAATGTTATCGTTTTAGTTATTCACTCTCAAACGGGCCCCCTCCATCAGTGCGCGTTGATGCAACTGTCCACCACCTCATGCCTTACGATTTTTCCTGTCCCCAAGTATTTTTTCTAGTCAAAACTAAGTTTGGATTCGTTCATACCAGACACTAGACAATAACATATAAAAACATCAGTTGATTTGAAAATGTCGACTAGCCATCCTTTGGTCGATCTTATCTGAAATCACCCAGTAATGAGGTGGCGGCGGGGACGATTCCTGGTGAAGGATGGCGTATATATGCAGCAAGTCGCTGAACGCTCTCCAGAGATGCTGCTAAGTGTACTTGCGCCGGATCCATAAAAAGAACTGCAATACTCTAGTCGGGGGAGCACCAGTGCAGTGAAGAGGTGCTTCAGAATCTGTGGGCCCATTCCACTGGATACCCGCAGGGCAAATCCAAGCATCTTTTGGGACTTGGATAGAACACTGCTGATGTGATTAGTGAAACACAACTTGCTGTCAAGGGTCACACCAAGCAGCCTTGTGGCAGTAACCCGAGGCAGGGGGGTCCCAGCGCGATTGAGAGCTTGGTAGAGAGGTGAAAAAGCATTGAGGTACACTTTGCCTCGTTAAGAGACAAGCTGTTCGTGTGAGACCCCCGGATGATGAGGTCTTCTTGCAGGCGTGGGTAGTCGACGCTGGGACGAGCTACTGGCATGATCAGTGTCAAGTCGTCGGCGTATAGCAACGGTCTGGAGACCGGGTTGACGGTGATATCGTTTATAAAGATGTTGAAAAAGGTTGTTCCCTACACACTGACCTGTGGTATGCCCGAGAGTACATCGGACCAGATGGTGGAAGCACCGTGATATACAACCCGTTGGCAACGATCGCTCAGGAAGTTTGACATCCCAACAAAACAGCTTCATGTAAATCCTAGGCATCAGTTTTTTTTTTTTGAAGGAGGAAGCCATGGTCTACCTCGTCGAAAGCTATTTGAAATACAGCTGGACAACCTCGCAGGGGATTCTGTCGTCCAAGCTAGTCCAGGCTATTGCTGAGCGTGTCGACAGCGGTGGCGTGTTCAGATCCTAATGAAGCCGAAGACACCGTCTACTCGGCGCCAGAATAAACATGAATTATGTCATAATCCTACATATAAAGTCGGGAATCAGATTGTGAGAACCGTGAATCGTGTCCGCACTCGGCAACAACTTTCTTGGCAGTACAGTGGAGGGTACAGGCACGCGTTCGCCCTCCCATTTCGCGCGCTGAATAAAGCTTTGCGCGGGCGCTCCTCCTCTCCACTGCATTGCCAAGAAAAGTTGTCGCCGAGTGTAGCTCAGGCGGCTCAGTCTCAGAGATGTTCATAACTTTATGGTTCAAAGCACGCGCCACATTCTAATTTTCTCCCGACTTTATCGGTAGGAATACGATACAATTAATTTTCTTTTTCTAACTGACATCATACTTGTGTATTCGAGACTAATCTTCTTCAGAGATATTGAGAAATCTAACTAAATTCGCCGTTTCTCGCTGCGATTAGTACTGGCGGCTAGCAACACTGATAGTCGCCATCTTGCTTGTTTTGAGTTTGTCGAGTGTCGTCGGCTGCGAAGCGGAGGTATGAATTCCGTCTTTCGTTGCATTTAGCACTGCATTTAATTATTCTGTACTTTTAAAAATACCTTCGACATTTTAACGCAGACGGGGCGCAGCAACCTAGCTTGCTGCTTTCTTCGTAAAGGTAAGGGACACCCCCGATCGTCGTGTTGCGATCGCGAGGTTTTTGCGGTGCCGTTGTACCTTCCCCGTGAAACATAGTCTCCCCGTTCTGTGTTTTTGTCCAGAATGAGTGACGAGTTCGAGAAACAGTTGGAGCTCGAAGCGAAGGAGAAAGAAAAGCAGTCCGGCTCGGACCCATACACTTACGTGGACCCAAACGACGGCACCGTCTACGAATGGGACGTCCAGAAAAACGCCTGGTTTCCCAAGGTGGGGGCCGTGTCTTCGCTGCCTACCTTCACCGACTTTTCTTTCTTATTTTTAGCTTTTTTGCAGCATCAGACAGCATTGCTCAAACTCGAGGCCGCTTAGAATTGTTGGTCAGAAGTCAGCTGCTTAGTGGGCCGCGTTCGTAGTGGAACAATTCGTGCGACCTTCCCGCGCTTTGAATCGCAGCGGCTGCTGCGAGATCAACCAAGCCAATCCGGCGCCGTGAACGTATCACGTGACTAGTACGCGCGACTCTGCATTCGGTCCGAAAGTCACGTGACTCGCACGGCATTGAATTGGCTCCAAGGGCGCGTAACGTTCTCTGCGGTCTGTCGTGAGGTGCCATCTAGAGTCACTGAATGCTCTAGTGCCATCGAAAGGTCCAAACTTCATATTGTAGCGAGAAAGGTTCTTCTGATTTGCGTTCGGCTCAACCAGTCAACATAGAAATAATGAGAGAATTGTCTCGACTCCTCCTGGAGTCGTCGTCACGTAATATTGCTAAGATTCTATTAACTTTTTCCCTGGGCACTCTTCATCCCCCCTTCGGTCAGTACAGTAGCGTCCTTAGCACAGTTGAATATGCCTCCAAGGTGAACAAACCGAACTGTGGTTTAGCCATCCCCCGCTAGCGTCTCGGCCCTAATGAAGCCAAGCCCCCTAGTGAGATGTTGGTCGCCGTTTTGATGCTCCTACAAAATTCCTTTCTCTGAGTAAGAATGGAAGGTTAATTCTTGGATGAGTCCAAACTTGGGTGTGCTCGTTTTAGCATGTAGCCTCCACCTTGCTCAACTGCATCGTCAACTTTCCTTGCTTGGGTTTTGAGCATGCAGCCTCCACCTTGCACTGTGAGACAGACACTGCCATTCTTGGCCTGTCGGTGGCTGCCAGGACAGTGCAGTTCACGTTCAATGGCTGCTGCCCTTGTCGGCTAAAGCTTCTTAATGCCGTTCATGCTTTGTGTTCCTTACAAGCACCAACAAACATTGTTGCGCAGACGTGTGAGGCAAGTTTTGAGCGAGTAGTGGTCATACAATGTGGCGCATTGCCAGCTCAGTTCAGGGCTCTGCCTTCATGTTCTTTTATGGGCTCAGCGAGGCATGCCCATTGTGCACTGGGGCGCTTGTTGCTGCTTGCGAAAAGAAACCCATCAGGGAGCTTCACTTTCTACTGGTTGTGAGGCAGCCTTGAATGCTTTAAATAGGTCACACAGGGACAAATTGTTTCGTCCGTGGCTTGTAAGATGCACCGTTTTACTAAAAAACAATGTTTAGCTTACAAAGTTCAGTTAAGTCCAGTGATTCCACTCCTGCGCCAAATGCGCCATTTTGTGCCAAAGGCAATTTCCTACGCCATCCTGATAGGAATCCATCATATTGTGCCAAATTGCACCAAATGGCATGGCTGGCCAAATTAGGAGGCAACTTGTGCCACCTCCTTGCCACACACAACCCGAGCTGCGGTAAATTGAAGGACTCCTAGCGGCTGTGCTGTCGACTGGGGCAGGTGCTGCTTTACGAGGCAAATGCAAGTCTTTCCGAGTACATGACTTAGCTGCCAGGCATAAATGAAATGCTGCAAAAGATTTAAAGAATGCTTCTTTGATAAGTCTTTTGTGTTAAAAATAAACAAATCACAGTAAGGTGCATCATTTGTTGTCTCAACTTTTTTTTTATATGAAAAAGATATGTTTAGTATTCCCTCACATTGGATTTATATGAAAGATACATTTTTGCAGTTACCGTTAAATCCTGAGAAGTGCCTCACCCTCGAAAGAGAGCCCACCCCTATTTTTGGCTTGATTTGCTATATTTTTTTAAACACCGAAAGACAGCCCACTCTTAGTAATAGCAGCATTGGGATCAATGATGGCCTTGGCTTAAATGCGGCTAATTCATTATGGCGGGATAGAAGCAAAGGTTGCTGACTGGGAAGTACAGTCATCTTCGCTTCATTGCCTCTCGCCACCATAGCAAGCCTGAAAGGGATAAAACCTAAAAATAGCAGTTTTTTATACTCTTCTTAATTGAACACCGAAAGTTAGCCCACTCTATATTTTCAGCCGATTTGCTCTTGATGTTAGGTGGGCTATTGGCAAAGTGCTGTCCCTGATTTTGCAGTTTGGTTGAACAACCAACTTTGCTCTTGTAGCTCACAGAGGACTTCTTGGCAGCCTACCACGCCAACTATGGTTCGGGAGAAGTGCAGAACGCAGAAGGCACGAGCCAGGTGGCCACCATTTCGCAGAACCAACAGTCCAATGCGCAGCAGTCTGGCAAGAAGCAGGATCCCAAAGCGAAGCCAAGTGATCCAGGTAACGTGAAGAGAGATTTCTTTTACGAACATTGTTTTATGAATCACATTCATTATACTCTGTAATGCACATGGTCTTGCTCGACCTCTTCAAGTTCCGTGTGACTACCTGACTACTGTCAACACCCCCTAGAAATAATCGACATCACCGAACCTCCTCCTCCTCCTCCTCTATGGAATGCCATAACAGTCGGATGGCGCCAACGAGCAATAGTATTCATGCCGAGCATCCTTCGACTCGTTGATTGGACACGAGACCCAGCCGAACGCTGACGCAGCAGTCATGTTCAATCTCCGTTTTCACTCGACCTCATTGTGATGACGTCAAAATTCCAGTGTACAGGTTTTGGTTGTTCTAGGTGGCGTTGCCACTGTATGCTTATAGGGAGAGACCATTCTGGCAGTTTCATCCATCATTTATTGTTTGTTTATACCTGCTGCAGTGATGCCTCAATGTACGAGGGGCACTCATGTTCTAAAGTCTCCTAATTTCTCTATGAAAAAGTGCACGCAGCATAAAACAGAAACCGTGTCACTCCTCTACATAGTCACCTTGTAGTTCTATACATTTTTTGCAACATCGATGCCGCGAGTGCACGGTTTCTGCGAAGACTCTTGTGAGGGCCTGTCAAGACCGCTGAAACGTGGCCGACGTCGCTTTTACGGGAAGCCAGCATATTGCCAGGCACCGATTATGAGGGAAAGCCAATCGGCTGTACTCAAAGGCTACACCCGACGGATTTAGACCCGTTCATTGAAACAATGCTATGAAAAGAGTACATACTCGCATAGTATTTTTGCGGAGCACTGGGAAGGATGGCACGTGGAGTCGCTGCAGCTGTGGACCTCCGCCACCACGCTTCGAGCCGTCTTTGACCGCCGGAAGAGCAGGCCATTGGTGGCGGCTCCGCTGTTCCACTTTTGCGATAAACGTTGATACGGCCTACATTTTGCACAGTTAACTCTTTCACTTTAGGGTTTTTTCCTGGAAGATGCTTGGCCGGATTTTTTTTCATAGGGATAGTGCAAAGAAAGGGTCATTATGCAGTTTTTTTTTAAAGGTAATCTGATGGGAGCATATACGGTGCTTTTGCAAGCTGTTCAGGTTTAGAACCATCGAAAGAAAGTATTAAGAGCAAAAAGCCAGAAATATTCCTACCCGCTATTATTACACGGTTCCTTTAAAAAAAAAAATCGTTCAGCCTTTCCACTTTTGTGAGGAAGGAAGACCAGCGGAGCTGTACTCGATACACTGCCGCAACGCGCACGCCGCCGTTTCCCGCTTCTTCTTTTCCGACACACTGCCAATCGTGGATACGACTCTGGCGAACCAGAGTCGGTAGCATACGGCGCACGTGATGCCAAATGGGATCTCCACAAACTCCCTCCGGAACCTCGCCGTCGCACCCGGGAACTGTTTTGCCGGCGTGGAGTGCTGTCGTCGCCAGGCCTCATGCTTGCGCTTGGCCTCCGTGGCACGATCGTCGTCCGTGGCGTTGGTCCGCCGGCACCCTTTACATAGCTGGTTCTGTTCTCGGCGGCGGCTTTCCAGGCAAGCGATGTGCTTTTCTTTTGCAAGGGAGTCTGAAGCGCTGGACACATTGGAAGTTGAGGTGACAGCGGCTTTGCTGCGGTGGCGAACCCATTCACGCTGCTGCGTATGCCGCCGCTCTATCTGCAGTCAGACTTGTTTCTCCGAAAGGGCACGTGGCCGACCCATCCTGAGTCCAAACCGAAACTCATAGGAGCGTAGGAAACAGCGCGTAAAACAGACGAGGACGACGAAACACGTGACGAGCGCTGCGCTCGTTACGTGTGCTTCTTCTTTGTCGTGTTCGTCGTCGACTGTTTTTTGCGCTGTTTCCTACGATGAATTCCCACCAACGCATCAAACTATCTATTTTTCTATGATAACTGGAAAGGTTGCCGCCATCTACGAGTGACGGTGGCAACCATACTGGTTGTGTGCTTGCCGCCGTCGCTTATAGATGGCGGTAGCTGTGCCGGTAGGTTTTTGTCGACATGCATTTTATACCGGACACAATCCTGGGGAACCTTGCCCTCAACAGCTCTGCTGTAAAAGGGTGACAATGATTCAGTACTCTACAGGGCTAATCTAGCCATTGCAGTTGGAAGGTTCAAGAGATGCCAGCACACCTCCCGGGATTCACTCCTATAAAGGCTAAGAGCTGTTCTCTGAGGCGCTTGACGACAGTGTGCATGCGTGCGTGTCCTGTGCAGGATGGTTCGAGATCGATGACGCCCACAACACGCGGGTGTATGTGAGCAACCTGCCGAGCGACATGGACGAGGAGGAGTTTGTGGAGATCATGGCCAAGTGCGGGCTGGTCATGAAGGACGAGAAGGGCGACTACAAGATCAAGCTGTACCGCACACCAGAAGGGAACTTCAAGGGGGATGCCCTGTGCTGCTACATCAAGGTCGGGTACCTTTCCATACCCCACCTCTGCTTGGCACTGGCTCCAGTTTCAAAAGAAAAAAGTGTCTGGAGGTGCATTGAAGAAATTTCGTAGATCTGATTTTATGACCTATTATTTGAGGAAAATATTTGTATAGTAGAGACAAAATGCTCTGCGGAAGATTTTGGCAGTTTCTCCAGTGTCTCTTTAAGGATGTCAACCCTTGTTAGTCGTCTTGTTATCTTTCTTACAGAAAACATAAAAATGTGTACCGGTCATCCACGTTGCCAGTTGTATGATGGCATTGTGGCCACGTCTCAATTAGGCAACCTAATGAGCAACTTTTAAATGGCTGTTTGGTTGTAAGCTCTTTATTAATAATATTAGGATGATTTCAAAAATGTTTTTCTCAAATACCTTACATCAGTTACATCTGTGGTTCTGAACCATTGATGTTTTGCGAACACCTTGTGGATCGACGGAGATGATGGAGGATCCCGTTCGTGGTGAGTTAAAGGGAAAGGTATAGGTTAAGTATGATAATGATTTAATAAATGAATATAACTAAGGGATAGTGTAAAGTAGACCTATCTTATCGACATACACACGAGAAAATTTGCCCGAAAATTGAATGTTTCTTCTCAATCTGGAAAAAAGAACTTTTATTGCCGGGCTTGACTGATAAGGCAGGGCTTCGCGGACCCCTAGAATGCCTTTGCAAACCTCAGAGGGTCTGCAGACCCTCATTTGAGAACTACTGCCTTACATAATGGCACAAAGCTTATGCAGCTATTCTGACTTGTTTTTATTTCCGAGGACTTCTTAGAAAACAAGCAACACATTCTCAAGAAAATTGTAAATGATTGAGAAAAAAAAAAACAGTTGTGTCATGTATGATTTTAAAAATTATTGTTCTAAAAACAAAGTCAAGGTAAAAAATATGCAGCATTTAGGGAGCTGTAATTGCTAAAATGCACCTCTGAAAATATTAGCTATTCTACACTATCTATAGCAGTGACAAAAAGACATTTCACTATCCCTAGAGGCGTTTTTAGGCAGTAGATTCATCATGCTAAGCATTTGGAAGCCCAGGTTGTTTCTACTTCAAGAATTTTGAAGTAAATCTTTTTTTTTTTTGTTGTTATAATTATCATTGGCAGCCTCTTTTTTATTTTCACTTCTTTCCTGCAAGATTGACATGTCAAATTTGAATTGTGCGTACTTACCCCAAGTATATCTTTTTGTGGGAAATTGTGCACTCGCATCCAGTAGGCTGCCAATTTAGAAGTGGGCCTCATTCCTTTGTCAAACTGTATCATCATTGCCCCTGTGTGTGATGACATACAGTAGAACCTCACTAATATGTTCTCGGTTGCTACGTCTCTCCCAGCTTCTATGTTCGCGACTGTTGCTCCTCTTGAACTTCCACAAGGACGTCTGTATTGATTTTCCGTTTGTCATGCTTGTTTACCCAGTTGTTACCATCCAAGCACTGCCACCTAATGCGGCCGACACAATGTGTTGCCCGCACAGCCACCATCTTCCTTTTGTTCCGCTTCCCCTCTCTTTTTTCCTTCTTTCCCTCTGCACTGTGTTTCTTGCCCCAGGAGGCATGATCTTGGACTAGGCCTGAAAGGGATTTTGGCTTTTGCAATAGTTAGTTCATCTTTATGTCTCTTTCTCGGGCAGATGTTCATTTTTGTTGTACGCGCCTGCTCGGTTCCCCTGGTTTATCTAGTTTATGTTCCTAATTTTAGTGAACGGTTCAAAAAACAAAGCAAACCACCAACGGATATTGGAATACACCAGATAGTTCTCTGCAGCTGTGAAAGCCCACCTGGAATGAATTGCTGTGGCAGAGTTAGGTACATCCTTTCTTATCTCTAGGCTTCCAAAAGGCATTTGTTCTGTTTCCCTGGATGATGTATGTTTTTACCACGATTCCCTGAAAAACGTATCAACAGGGTTTTGATCTAGTCGGTGCAGTCTAACACAGAAGAATAAAACTTGTTAAAAAGCCCACCTGCTTGTGCAGCTGCCCTCCTGGAAAAAGGTAGCAATAGATTATGTTGTTAGGTGTACTCCGTCGTGGAACTTTCCATATGTGCTGTACAATGAAAGTCGTCTGAACCTGTGTCAGATTTTTCACAGCAATGGTGCTGCCCGTAGCACCATTTTCGTTTTCTAGCAGGCTTTCTCAAGAAATATCATAGATTAGCAGCTCTGCTCCTTAAAAGAGGTTTAGGATCACTACCGTAATATCCGGAGCTGTCGCCCACCCCCTTCTGCTGCCTGAAATTCATAAAAAAAAAAGGGTCATGTCTCTGCAGGAACTTAAAAAAAAAATTAAGAAAAATGCCCATTTTTTGTACATATCTAGCGCGGCTGCACAAGAGATACAGTGGAGTCTCGTTTATTCAAACCCTCTTAAATAAAACTTGCGGATAATTGAAACTAACATGGAGGTCCCATCCTACGCGTCTCTATGGGAGGAAACGCCCGGTAATTCAAACTTTGCTTTATTCAAACAAATGTTTGGTCCCCTTTGAGTTTTAATTAATGAGATTCAACTGCACATTAAACTCAAAACTCTAACTAGTTTCATTGTTTTATGCAAAACATGCTCATGAAAGAATGTTTTACTATCACAAAGTCCGTTGCTTGCATACGTGCGATGAACGCCGCCAATCGGCACGCAGCGTAAATGTTTGTTCTATAAAAGTATGCTTTTAACAATGCTATGTTCTCTTCCTTAGTAAAATAAATAAATATAAAAGTCAACAAGAAAATGGAAGACCAACCAGGCACAACGAGCGAGGGGGCGAGCGAGCGAAAGAAGTATGAAAAGCAATGCTGAAGAAGCGTGAAAGCTGGCAGTCGCGTTGGTCAATACTTTGGCATTGGGCCAAGTTGGGTGCCTTGTCAATCGCAAGGAGCAGGCTCTTGTGCAACTTCTTGTTTGGTGCATAGATGCGTGCGTCCATGTGCGGCGTGCTATCAACATGGGTTGAGACGGCACTGCTGCGTGGTGTGGACGGCACCACGAACATGGAGCTCGAAGTGGGACGCTTTACAAATGTCTGTGTGCGGCGTTTCAGCAAATCTTCATTTACCCGTTGGCTTTGTCTCAAACATTGCACTATGTTATTGACTGCAGTCGCGACGTTCCGGGAGAAGGAGTGGGTTTGCGGTGACCTTATTTCGGTAATGGACTTTGACCTTAAATTTTTTATCTTGCACCCCGCGGTTACATTCCAGGATCGGGGTGTTTGCTGACCTCGCAATTCCTGAATGGGTTACTGCTTGTGTTATTTTTCCGATGTTTTTTCTTTTGTCAGAACAATCTTTTTTGCTAGCAAAACAAGGTTTCTGTTTGTCATCTCCATCGGTTTTTTTTTTTCGCACTCATGTACTCTGACTTTGGGGTTGCATATATCGGGGAGGAAATGCGTAAACAAAGTTAAGTGTCTTTCCCTCCTTTGTTTTACTGTGTCACAGACGTCCTCCAACCATAAGGTTCGCGGCCGCGTCAGTTGGGTAGGATGAAGGCTCGCGGATCACGGAGTCCCTGTCGGGGTCTTTGTAGGGTGGTTTTTGATTTCGGTGATTTTTTGAAAATCGATATTCGCGCAAGATGTGGGGTGGACAATGACTCGGGTATGTGCGATGACTTGGGATATTATGGTAATTGAATCCACTTTAAACATATCACACTCATAAATGCTGTTTTGCTATGGAAGCAGCCAAGTACATTTGCAATCCATTTGCTATTTTCAATAGGGCAATAAAAACATGGGAGAAAAAACAAACAAACAGTTTTCAAATATGAATAGTTACAAACAACATTCTAATATATTCTGAAACTCTGTGACACCATCAAAAACATGGCGGAGTGTGGTTGTTTGTATTAATGTCTTCTAATTCGGAGCCTAACTCCTGAACCGATTTGATCTGATAACACCGTGAAGAGGAGTCTCGTGGACGCCACCATTTTATTCTCTAGCACAGAGTGGGTCCAATAGACCTTTTTCGAAATTCAGTGCCATCTGGTGGCTGAAATGGCGGTTTAACCTTTGCCATACTAATGGCGGCCATGATCCTGTAGTTTGCACTATTTTATGGTGCACCATCACTTTCGAAAGTCAACGTCAAACGAGAATGTGCGTTTTACTATGCAGTTATTTATCAATCTCTTTCAGTGTCGATGGCAAAAAAGATGCATCCAGTCAGAACGAAGCACCAACCCAAATGGACAGCTTGACAAAGTTCTATACGTTAAGGGGCTTTGAAGCCGATTGTGTGCTACTGACAGATTGACTGGGCCGGAGTTAGAAACGAATGCTTACCCAGTTCTTGCATTCATTTTCTGCTTCATATCATTCTAACATCTCGAATGCATAGGCCTCGAATCATCTGCTTAGGAGCATCTTCAACTTCTTCCCTCATCAGTAAATGGAAGGCCACCATTATTACAGCCCATATGCCATTTTTCAGATGATAATCGTTATTAAAATGGCCAGACTGAATTTCGGAAAGGGTCTATTGGTGGTTAGTTACAATTCTCAAATGCTTCTTTATAAGCTTTAGACACGACGTCAGGAAGCTTGTGCGATATTGTTCTGATCTGTCGCAAACAGCTATAACATTTCTGGAGGATGGAAAAGCATTTCTTGCAATTTCAGATAGAGTTTCAGATAACTGGCAACAATGATTTCAAGCTCCAAGATAGCCATTCTAAAGCATAGCTTGTTTAGTGACTAGTACTGACGTAAAGTTGTGAAAGACAAAACACGGCGAGTTTCGTGCCCCATTTGCATCCGTCAGGTGGGCATTTCAACGCTACTAGATCGACTCAATTGTGGAACTGTCCATATACGCCGCTTCTACGTGCAGCACACTCCCTCCTCCAGGAAAAGGGGGGGGAGAGGGCGGCCGGTGCGTTAACTACAGTTTAGTCCATGCAAGAGACAGGTCTTGAATTTGAAGCACAGCTTTTAGATGGAATTTCACAATAGCCATTTCAAAGAGTACAGTTCTGAAGCACAGCCCCTACATGGCACTTCAAACGACGGATGGCTAAAGCTCCTTTATAAAATTCGTGCTTTGCATTTCTTACAAGCGCCGACAACCATGTTGTGCAAACTTGCGACACACATGCCGCGAGCGAGTGCTGTGCCGCCCTTTGCTTTGTAAAATGAGCACAGACACATCAAGAGGCTTTACGTATGGCGTTCTTGGGCTGGAGAGGGTGTGCTCGCTGCTGGAGTTCTAGAACTGAGTTAATCTGTAGTCACTGACAAGGTGAGAATTGCAGGGAGGAGCTTCAGTTGTCATCCTCCAGCATGAGCTTCCTACCCTTTGACGAGACTTCGGCATCTCGGCGTACAGGCCGGGCGTTCAAAAAATGTGCCCTGCCGTTCTCCTTCTATAAGTGACCATAGTAACGTGTGGGCGTTCTGACGACCAACACCTCCTCTCGCACCCAGGTGGAGTCTGTGGACCTGGCCCTGCGCATCCTGGACGGGTACCGGCTGCGGGGCCAGGAGATGCGGGTGGAGCGTGCCCGCTTCCAACTCAAGGGGGCCTACGACCCCACCAAGAAGCCCAAGAAGAAGAAGGGCAAGGAGAAGGAGAAGCTCAAGAAGAAGATTGAAAAGTGGGTGGCGCCCCTTGGCCCTCCCCTCCTTGGGGGCGTCAGGGCGAAACAACGTAATGGCCTTGGTCCTTCACTTCCGAGCTGGAAGGGTGTCAGTGCGCCGCAGGTCACTTGCAGAGAGAGTCGGAACTCGCTCTGCTGTCTCGGAGAGCCCGAGATCAATAGACAGATTTCACCTATTGTTAGGTGCACGCGTGACTCTGCCTTAACTGTAGTGAAAGAGGAGGCAGACTGCAGTGCACGAGAGGGTTTTCGTCGTCACTATGCGCAGTGCAGGAGCAATGTTGTCACGTGTGAGGAAGAAAAAAGTTCCCTCAATGGCTACAATATGGACGGAGGAAAAGGAGAGTAAATAACGTTATGGGGGAGCATTTGGGAGCCTTAAAAATGGTGCCGGCTACTCTTTCTCTCTATCTCTCTTTTTCTCTCGTCTCAAAATATGAATGGATATTTCTTTATTTACATTACTGGCAGCCCTTTTGGGCTGTCTAGGGGTGTTAATTTTGGAATAAAAGAAAAACCGTACAACAACTAATCGCCACAAATACAATCATTATTTGAGTGCTGTTCCAGTTAAACAGGAATGTCCGAAGATTAGGTTACCAGTACCATCTGAAAAGAGGTAGCACGTCTCAGATGATACATCTCCGACCCTCTGCATTATCAATCCCAACAAGAGGGTTGCCATCCGCGTTCCACTCCTCGAGTGTTTTTACCGCAAAGAAGTAGGACTTTAAAAACATTGAGATCAGGATTGTACGGCTTGACTGCAAATTGATTGGAGTGAGATGATATGAATTCCAGCTCTTATACATGGCAATATGGATGACTGTTGTGATGCAAGATCAATTCAAGCACTTACTTATGACTCCAGTGGCCTAAAGGGGGATGCGCTGATCTTGGCCAAAATGGCAAATGAAATGAGGTCAGTTTCACCATTCAGTGCGCAAAAAATCTTAGATTCTTGCATTGAAGAGCGGATCCAAAATCCAATGGTGAAGCAAAACACTTTTTAGACACGAAAGCTTAGGTCCACTTAGGACGGTAGAGGGTCATGGTAGCAGCATAAAAATAATTACTGTCTGCAACATTTTTTTTTTTTTTTGCAAGCATTGGTATGGCATGATGATATTGACAGAAGGTAGCTTTAGAATATTTGCAATGTGGAAGATAAGAAAAATCTTCGAGCTCCATCGTAAGGATGACGTTTATTTGGTAAATCAACTAAACATCAGCCTTGGGAAAGATGTCTAATGCGCTTCTAACATTACCCTCGGGTTCGAGTGTCATAGAAACAATAAATGGCAAATACTGGTTTGTAAAATTTTTAGTCAATTATAAGCCAATCTTCACCAGGCTCCGAATCAACCAAATTCACAGGATTATAAGACCCTCTTTTACGTTAGCAAATGAGAGTTTGATTGTAACTTATGTCGAGGTCCCTCATAAATGTCAGCTACATTTTTGCAAGAAATGCCAGTGAAGGTATGGAATGGAGATTTAAAATAGGCATGTATTTGCATTTATAACTCATTTTATTTAAAAAAAAATATATATTTATAACTAGCTACAATAATGTGCAATCGTGACAATATGTGTTTTTGCTAATTTATGCTGACACCAAATGGAGCAGAGGGTTTCCTAATGCTTCCACAATGTCAACGTTTTTTCGGACCTACCCACAGAGCTTATGTTTTGCGAACTGTGGCTGATTCCAATTAATTTGTTCATACCAGTCTCTGTCAGGTGTCGATTAATTTGTTCTTACCAGTCTCTGTCAGGTGTCGATGATGAGCTTGCAAATCCTTCATCATGACATAGTGATAGCGTTTGAAAATTCATGGGATGACATCTGATTTTGTTAACGTTTCAAATAGGGCTCTAACATCTGTCTTCTACTGAAAATTGAAAAACAGACACCTTCTCAGCATTTATTTGTGTTTTTCCCTCACTTATGGGACTTTTTGCCAATCTTAATTTTATCAATCTATACTCCTGTCGGCTGTTTTTGCCATGGGCTTCGGACAGCAACACGCGTTGCAAGGTGACATTGTTCTTCGTCTTGCAAAAAAAGAATATGGCACGCCGCCAAACCGTTTTGACTTCATTATTCATTCCTCATTTTGTTGCGGCAGCACTGAACAGCGATTCTTCCGTTTAGCTTATTAAGCACATATGAAGGGACGTCGCCTATGAGGACCAAGCAATGAAAGCAGATGGCCATTGCGAAAGGTCCCCCTTTCGGAACTCCTCAGTGCAGCCGCTACATGGCATCGATTTTGTTGGAATCGCGAGTGGGCTGATTAATAAACGAGCATTGTACAGCGGGTTGAGAATGGAGGAAAAAGGTCGAGCGTTGCAGAAGCTTTAGGCCTACCAAGAAGCACTTTGAGTACTCTACTGACAAAAAAGAGGGACATAAAGGCCAAGGCAGAACAGAACCAGCACTCAGGCACGCGGCTTGTACGCAAAGCTGCCTTTGAAGATGTTGAGAAGTCGCAGCACAAATAGTTCATCGATGCAAGGGCCCGGAATATTCCTGTATCCGGACCGGTGTTACAACAGAAGGCCAAGAACTTTGCATTCATTCTCGGCGCCGAGAACTTCAATGCCAGTAGCGGTTGACTGCAACGTTTTAAGGCCCGCTTTAACATTGTCGGGAAGACAGTCTCGGGGGGGAAAGTGAGGATGCCAATGCCGCCTCTGCGGTCGGTCGGCGCTTTGCGGAGCACGACGGCCACGCGCTTTTAACAAGTTTTTTTACACGTTTTTGATGTGATCTAATAGTATATCGAATTCTGGCTATATCCAACTATTTCGCCATCACCGCGCGGTTCGATATATCGAGGTTCGACTGTACTATTACGAACTAGTGTAGTCATCACCGTGTGGCACACATTGAAAGTCTCGTGGTTGGCAGTCATATTGCACTAGCCAAATGGGGCCTCTGCAGTGGCAACACGAGTCATCACTCCAAGCCAGTCTTGCCTCCCAGTCTACGTATAAGCACACTAATCTACTACCTATATTCCGTTTCACCGTAACTCGGCAAAGAGCGAACGCCACGGCCCCCTCGAGGCAATCGGAGCAACGGAGGCAAAGCACAAGGTGCAGGGGCAAGGGCGTGGCCCGACTCGTGAACAGTTGGAGAAGAGAGGAAAGAGGAGCTTTCCCTCTTACACCATAGAGGTAGGAAGCTTCTGAAGGCAACACAAGGCCACCAGAGGTGAAGCCAGAAGTGTGGAGGGACATGCCTCCAACGATGACCAAAACCTAGAGCCACTATTGGACGAAAAGGAGAACTGAGTCAACAGCTGTTTTGGTCACCCTAGGGCATGGCCCAAGGGTGACCAAAACAGCTGTTGAGTCGGCTCTCTTTTTCATCCAATAGTGTCTCTTGGTTTTGGTCATTGTTAGGGGTGTGTCGCCTGCAGAAGCTTTCCACCTCCATGTCTTACACCAATCCTTTTTTGTGCGCCTTGGGAGTCGCTTATGTCCTTCTCGGAGATTAGCCTGTCACTCGAAATACGTACGAAAGTGGTTTTCCTCTTTCCTGCGCCTATGGCTTTGACAATGCTGAACCCAACTAGCGAGGCAGAGCATAGTGACGCGTCTCCCTCCGACGCGTCGATTGACTCGCCGATGCTGTAGCCTTTTCCGTTTGTCAAGTTACAGTGAAACGAAGTGTAGTTGCGTTTTCGGCCGGCCTGCACCGGGATTCTCTCGAAGCCAGTGCGGAACACGGTGCTCGCCGGTGAAGCACGGAGCCGGTGCCACATCGAAGGCAGACTGCATTGCGCCTCATAAATAGATAGATGGATGGACACGACTGAACCCTTTAAAGGGGCACTGACACCGCAAAGGTCGTATTCTTTTTTATTGTCTAAAACGATGCAAGTTGTAGTCATAGACACGCAAAAAAAACCGTATCGGGGAAAAAAATTTCTTTGCGCGCGCCTTTTTATTTTTTGCGTTTATATTTCCCACGCTCACCTCCTTTTTTTCTTTCTTTTGATCGGTGACGTCAAAAATCAGGAAATATAGAAGCTTTGTAGGCAACATTTCTATTACATTTAATAACGGCAATCGTAAAACATGTTTTTTAACGCAATGACGAACGCACTACGGCCTTTCTTTTTGAAATACCAAAAATCAGATTTCGGTGTGATGTCGCTTCCTGGATTTGTGTTCTCCCTCGGAAAACTTGGCGGCGCTCGAGCAGAGGCTTATCGCCGAGTCGGGGAACGAACCGGTTTTTCCCCACGCCGGCTCCCTTCTATCCCGCCTGCTCACCTCCTCTCTTCGGGTCGCGGTAGCAATGGCGCTTTCTTCACAGCGTGGTGCGGAGGTCCGAAAGAAAGTCGAGTCGCAGGAGACCACATAATTTGACTCACTGCACTGGTGCGGATCGCGCGGGAACTTCAAATTCGGCATTTGGAAATTGTTTTTCTAATTCACAAATACTGAATTCCCAAGTTTCGAATTTTGAGGGTAATGTCCCGGCATCATTTTCAATCGTTTCGGATAATAAAATAAATTATGATTTTGATGTGTCAGTGCCCCTTTAAATTGGACAACGATCTACGCCACCTAGTGTTGTCCCGGTGCTGGCAGGGACAGCCGGCATGTGTCACTTTGCAATTCGTGCCCCTTCCTCGTGCTGTGCATTTTGAACAGTTTGTGTCAGCTGTGGGTCCTGGCAGGTCCTTGTGCCCCTGTCCTGTAGAAGATGAACACTGTGGGTGTCATTGTGAATGGGGAAAAAAGATTGGCATTACAATATTGCTATCGAACCTCAACAACCTGATGGTTGATTAATCACTCTTCATAGTCGCTCTTTGTCGGCATACGCGCTTTTGCTCGGTATGTTGTGTGGCTTCTTGAGATTGTCATTTTATGCTTTTTTGCATATCGGTGACAAAGAGTCGGGCTCTTTTGTTACTCATTGTACCTCGGTGCCTCAGTGCCGCCGAAGCGTTTTACGACATTGTCCAAAAAGTTAATCACTTTTGGGTGCTCCTTACCGTTGCAACGGTTACCTGTAAGGCTGGGAAGGCAAGGTGCTCACAGTCCTTGCTGTCAGATGAGTAGAGCCCTGCTGAGATAGCAGTTTGGTCGTTTGCATCCGATCTGCATCTAGAAACTTTATGTCCTCGTCTGAACTGCATCTGCAATGTTCTTAAGTTCTATCCACATCCAATCCGCATCTGCATACTTTGTATCCGCATCCGAACCACAGCCGCATAATTCGGAACCACATCCGACCCACAATTCGCGCATTCATTTTATATTACAAAATCAAGTGTAAATAAAAAAAAAAGAATTGCGTCTGGATGGTATCTCATAAGTAGGATTCCGTGTTTTGCAGAGCTTATTTTTTGCTGAAAATTCAGGGTTTATCGGAGTTTATTTTTGTTAGGTTCCCAATTCTTCGGAATTCTGAGTTTATTTTAGTGTTCTTATATTTTAAAAGTTTTAAAAACAAAATAAATAAAGTCTGGGTATCATGATTCGTTGTCCTCAAGGAACCACGACGTGCTAAAAGGCTTGGTTCTATATTTCAAAGGAAACTAAAGTGGCATCTCCTCAGTACTACCGACCCTGTTCTCTTTTAAAGCTTATTTGTAAAACAGTCATTTTTGCTTTTTGTTTTGTCGTTGTGACCTCACGATCGACGGGAAATTAATTGGCAAGACACTCCGCGTCGCTGAAAGATAATCGCAGTTATGAGATTGTCCTGGGAGTCTGCGACACTCTGCCCGGAAGGTGTGCTGAAAAGGAAATAAATTTTAATATTTTTTTTCTTTTTACTTTGTAATGCTCACTTCAAGCAGATGCATATTTTCTGGAAAATTAACACCTAAATGACGGTCTAATAGCATTGTCTAATTTTATTTAGGTCAAACAATAAAAAAAGCGGGAGAGAAAGATGTCGTAAGACGCGAGTATACCACTGGGAAAATATCACAATATCGAATAATGACAACACCTCCTTTTGATTTCAGTTTTGAACTTGAACCCGCAACTGTGTGCTCCAAACCACGTGCTTGGCAGCAACTTGCCAATTGTTGAAAAGAAATGCACATACATGCTACAATTCACTCGTCAAAAAGGCTTCTTCTTAGACGGAGGCTTATTGCGGAGAAGGTGCCGTGTAGCCGAGCTTTCGGCTGCACGTCAAAAGATCCCCAGGTGGTCGAAATTAATCCTCAGTCCTCCGCTGGGGCGTGCCAGATGCCCATCGTAGGTTTGGCACGTAAAACCCCCAAATTTGACTTTGAAGGAGGCTTCTTCTACTTTCTTGTGGCTTGTACATTTTTGTTTTTTTTGCCTGAAAAATGTTTTCTGTTCTTTCACCGTGAAGCAAGAACACGCTTTCCCGTTACCATTCTTTACTTTTTCTATCGACAGTGTTTTTTGCAAGATAGAACGCTTTAAAAGTAATCTTAGGTGAGAATGTGGTCTTCTTGGTGTAGAAAGCAATTTTCTCTCCAATTAGCACCTTTTTTTCAGAGTAATGTGCTCACAGAAAACGTTCGATGATGCACTTCATAGTACCACTCGCTAATTAACTCTGCGGTCGCACATGTTTGTGGCATGCCTCGGTAAACATGTACAGGGTGTCCCAAAAAAGATTTGCAGCGTTATTTTTTACCGCAAAAATAAAGAACACGTTGCCAAACGCTCATTCTCCGCCCAAAGGTAGCTCTAGAGGTCGGAACCAGATGCCAAAGCTTCAGCACAAACCGATATTTCATTCAAAAGTTATAAGTAGGGTGTGTATTTTCCGGTTTTAACCGAAAAACACCGATAAACATCCGTCGGTGACAAAAATATAAAATCGGTTAAAACCGAAAAACACCGGTGGTTGGATATTTTCGCCCTGGTTAAAACCGAAAACACCGGTCGTTGCATGTTTCCGACCTAGCGAAACCCTTTCCCCGTAGAGGTTCGTCAAACGTGTTATCTCGTGGATTTTGCATTCTTCCAGTGTTTATGCATGGCTTGCACGTGGCGTCAGTCCGCCCTCCTTTCTGGCGGTCAAAAGCGTCTAGTGAACGCATTGGAAGCTAAGCTCTCACACGCCTTTCCCCTATTGTGTCTACCATGGCCCCCTTTTGTGGAAAAGTCAACGCAGCGGAGGGTAGGCTCTCACGTGCCCTTTCCCCATTGTGTCTGGTCAAGTGGTGTCGGTGCAAGCCATGTATTCAGAGGTTGCCGTGGTTCCTGGAAGACACTGCCAACGTCCGTCTCGTACAGAAGCGTGCGTTTTCATAATTGCGGGTTGTGAACCGCAAGGAACGTGCTGCAATGACGGATGGAAGCCTCTCGAAGTATGCTTGCATCTACTATAATAACCAAGCGTGAAAATAGATGCTTCCTAGAGAAGAAGTGTATGAAATATGTGAATAAAATTGAAACTCTCTGTCTGTGATTCATCGCATTTTTTTCCACCGATAATCACCGATTTTAGCCTAGTCGTGAGACGTTCCACCGAAATACACCGGTGCTTTTAAAATAAATAAACACCGAAAAACATCCGCCGATTTTTCTCACAAATAAACACCGGAAAGTACACACCCTAGTTATAAGTGATCTTGTGAAAATTTAAATGGGAAAATGGGGCTCATTTTTCTCTGTTTTCGATTCTGGCACCATAGAGTTCCGTCTGCCGCCATTTTCACATTCAAATTTTTAGGAGATCACTTGTAACTTTTGAATAAGATATCAATTCACGCCGAAACTTTGGCATCTGGTTTTGACTTCTTGTACTACCTTTTGGCAGAGAACGAGCGTTCGATAATGCATAGTTTATTTTTGCTGTGAAAATTTCCTGTACATTTTCTGTAGATACAGACCCGCAGATATCCATATCCGATTTGCATCCGCAGCCCTTGGCATCCGCATCCAATCTGCAACCTGCCAAATTTGATGAATTTTTATTTACATCCGACAGTTTACTAGGGATATCCACAGATATGCAAAGCTCTAGAGACAAGCTGTCCAGGAATTTAAGTGCCAATATGCCACGTAACAAATATTAGTTTGTGTAAGCCATCTCGGCAGACTGCAGTCTGTGCAGTTGGTGTGCTGGCACTGTCTATTCAAGTTCGTTGTCGCTATCCTTGCTGGGATATCACACTGTTACAACGTCAATTTTCTCGGTGCATGTAGTAGAAACAATTAAAAGCCGCACCAGGAGGGTGTGGTACGTTTATTGAAAACGTCCCCAGTGCGCGCCGCTACATTTTACTGAAGACAGCGGGGCACACCCCAATACCCCGGTGCACACTGGCACAGTTGATTGAGGATGCTGTAACAAGCGGCACTAGCGTGTTTGGCTTGGGAACATGTAATAACGGATTTTTTGGGATAGTATCTCGCTATCTCTGCGATAAATATTTTCTGCAGGTACTAAATTTGCGAAATAAAAGGGGTGGAGATACTCGAGCGTACGACAAAACACTCTGTGAAGTAAGCTCTGGTCCACATGTGCGGTTTGCAAAATCTTCTGAAATTAAGTTGCTTACAGTTGTCTTTCTTCTTCGTCTTTAATTTTGCTTGTTTTTGCAGGCTGTTTGACTGGAGGCCCGAGAAATTGAGGGGCATGCGCGGCAAAAACGAAAGCACCGTGGTCCTCAAGAACATGTTTGAACCCAAGGAGTTTGAGGTGACTGCTCCCTTTCTTATGAGATTGTCTGTAACCACTACCTATGTTTTCTCACTCTGAAGTTGCCACCTTGAAACAGGCACCTGACACGGGCCGTCTTGCTACATTTAAACCTGTTTTGAAAATCGAAGGACAATCCTCCGCAGGTATTTCTTGGCCAAGAAGCATTGAATATCTTTCATCGTGGCATTGCAGTTCTGTTTTATTGAAACGGAAAATCTATTCGCCTCACATTTATTAACATTGAACAAGAGTAAAAGCTGATTGGAGCTTATTGTACTGGCTATAGTCTCTTTTAAGTTTTTCTTTTGCCTACCCAAAACTTTTATTGAGCACCTTATTTGTCTGGTTATTAGCAGCCATATATAAGGGGAGGGTATGGCGAATACAAACAGTCGGGAAGCTGCATTGCAGCGGTGATGCTAAGGACGTCATTGTAACTGCCACAGACCATCTCTGCTTGGGTGCGCGCTTCCACGCAAAGGAATGCACGGATGTCATGACCCGGCAGTGGTAGCACGGATTGCCTCGGGGAGTTCAGACGCCCGCTAACGTACAAGGCGGGGACGCGGGGGACAAAGACAAGAAACTTGGGCTGAACGAGGTAGTAATAAACATTTAGTAACAAAATACTAATTTGGTATAAATCAAAAAAGAAAATGCCACACAAAGGCTTAAACAAATGGGAGATAATAAGGCATATACAGTCAACTTTCGTTAGTTCGACCTCGGTAAGTTCGACTTTTCAATTAATTGGATCCTGTTCAAAAGTCCTGGCAAGCGCCCATACATTTCTATGGGAAGAAAAATTCGATAGTTCAAACTCGGGACGACTCCGCATTGGAAAATTAGTCCCGAGTGAATGCGCGCGGGTTCACATTGCACGGCACCACGGCAAAAAAAGCATCAACGTAAGGCGAAACATGGGCCCTTTGCTGCAAAGCCGAACGTGCGCAAATATGTGCCTGCGCCTCTACGCCATTGAATGACACGAGCCAGTGCAACCAGTCTGGCGTGGAGTAGCGCGGTGAACATAGCACGTGGTCGGGCGCGGGGACAGCGCACACTCTCAAAGCGCTTTTTTTGTAGCATCTTGTGGGGTCCATCTCGCGCGCCGAAAAGTGTGGGTTCTCTCTTTCTTTTTTTTTTTTTTCTTTTCGTAGTTTTTTTTTATTATTATTATTTATTTATTTTGAGTTGCGGATGTTTTGGTTGCGCGGCACCAAAGTCGGTTTGTAAATAGCATCCTCGATCATCCGCACCGGTGCGCACCGGGGCACTCAGGTGCGCCCCTTCATCTTCGATCACGTGCACCGGTGCGCACCGTACGTCCTCGATCAACGAAGCGCACCCTCCCGGTGCGGCTTTTCGTTGCCCCAACGCGCACCAAGAAAATCGGCGGTGCGCCGGGGGGCAGTCCCATCAGGCATTGCGGCCAGGAGCGGGAATCGAGAAGATGGCGGGAGTAGCAGACGCGCAGACTATCGAGATGGCGATCTTGCAAAAACGAACACGCCTCGCAGCTGCACTAGATGATTTCCTCGGGTCTTCTGACGGCGAGTCGACGAGCTTCTCACCATCGCCGCGATTACTGGCGATTGCTGCGGTGGCAAGGAGCGCCCAAAAAGAACGAACTTCGTGGAAAGCGGCGCGAAGCGTTTCGATGACAGCGAGGTACGGCTATTATCTGGTGTTTCGTTTTCTTGAATCAATAATGATGGCCAACATATACATGTGGAATTGTCACCCGCTCCGTGACCCCATCGACAATCACGTCCACGATGTTTATTTCTGTGGGACCGTCAAATCCGCGAGTAAAAAAATAGAAGAAATTGACAGCAGACGGGCACCGTGCGCTGACCTACGCAAGAAAAAACGAACAAAACGCGAAGTGACGCAAGGTGGAGCTCGCCGCGGTGCACCGGCGCGGCGCAGTTTGTCCTCGATGTTGCACCGACATCGCGCTGCACGACCGAGGAGCGCTGTGCACTGTGCTGGTTTCAGGGCGATTCCGGTGCGAGTTGATCGAAGATGCTAAAAGCTTTCTCAGCACGCCCAAAGCGCTCATAGCATCATGTGCGGTCCATCCTGCGCGTTGGAAAGCGCAAATTCTCTTTTCCTTTTTTTTGTTATTTTTCTTTGTCGCCGATGGTCTGGCTGCTTAGCGCCTAAGTGGGCTCGTAAAACTTACATTGTTTTTTTTTTTTGTTTTTTTTTTGTACTTGATTTTTTGAGGACGCGACATATAAGTTATGAATGCGAAAACATGAATATCGTCCTTCCGCTTCCTTAGTTTGTCTGCGGTGTACTGGCGTGGACGGCCATGTTTTGCTACCGCCGAGGTTGCAGCCGCCAAAGATATAGAGGCTTCAGGTGCCGCCATGTTCCTCGGCGCCGAGGGAAACAGAAGCGGCCACAGCCTCGATAACACGTGACACAAGAGCGGCAGCTGAGTGCAAGCCACAGGGCACACGTTACATGGAGCCAATTAGAATTTATCCATCGATTTGATGGTGCAGACTGCAGGCTTCGCTCCATGAAATGGGAATTTAGGTGCCGTTTAATGTGGCTTCAAAAGCTGAGATTGCCAGTTCGCTCCATGGGACAGTTAATGCTTTTACATTAATAAAATGATATAGACAGTACTACACAGTGGAGTAGTCCAGCACGACGGGGCTTGCAAAGGTGGAGCCGAAGTTTCCTGGACTTGCCTCGTTGTAGTGCAGTGTTCCAGGTGCGGCGAGAGGCTGATGATGGCACGTTGTTCTGGGGTAGTAAGGCAGTGAAAGAGCTCGTTTGGCTGGCGCACAGAGATTAGCCTCTTGGTGCCACGGTGCCCAAGGGGCGACGTTTGGAGTTGAAGGGCCTGGCAACTGCTGGCGACCAATTCTCCACGCCAACTCCATGCTGAATACAAAGTGGTGCACACAACCAGTCGAAAAACACAATAACCAAAATAAAACCTGCGTCTTCCCTCCGTACTGATGAAACAAACATCACACACACAGGCATCCCGGTGACGAAGCTGTCCATCCATGGAGGTAGGGAGCTTCTGGTGGCGACATGAAGCCACCAGAAGTGAAGCCAGAGGTGTGGAGGGACATGCCCTAACAATGACCAAAATGTCGCCTCCAGAAGCTCCCCACCTCCATGCGCGCATCGCTCCTAACCATGAAACAAGCAGCAGACAAAAGGCACTCTATCTAACAGCTGCAGACCATTCCCAAATTCAAAAACTTGTGTTTTGGTAACCCAATGCGGGCGGCCGGAGCTTCGGGCAGGAAAGCTCGTGGTTGGAAAGCCAGGGGGCCACAAAACTGTCAAAGTTGTGTCCCCTCCTAGTGGTAAGAAACAGACCCCGCAGTAACTACCTGCCAACTACTGCCTAAAAAACAGTCTGAGAGGTGCCTTGTCAAAGTGAAGTGACCATTGCCTGGCTCGTTCTTTAGAGAGTAGGCCAGTTTTTGTGACAATGGGGATGGCTGTGCCAGATCGCACCTTGCCATAGCGTCTGAAATGCTAAAACAGATACCTCAGAAAGTTAACTCTATTACAGATATGTTATGGAAACCACCAGGACATCATCCAAATATGCTTGCACGCTTGGGATGCCCTTCAGCATGGTCTCCATGGTACGCTCAAAAATAGCTGCCGCAGAGGACACCCCAAATGGCAGATGGTTGTAACAATACAGTCTTTGATGGTCATGGATGGCCATTAACGTCTTTGCCTCTTTGTCTAGGGGGTCGTAAGCATCACGAAGATCTAATATGTGCTCTACACGTCTCCTCGTTGAGAGCTGCGAAGAGGTCATCAATCACAGGTAGCGGATATTGCTCTGTAACGCATGTCGCGTTCACAGTTAGCTTGTAATTACCGTATTTGCACGATTCTAACGCGCCCCCGATTCTAACGCGCACGTCTCTTTGACTCCCGGATATTCGAAAAATAACTTGATGCCGATTCTAATGCGCAAGTAAGAAAAAGTCAAGGCTGAGCAACACATACCTGATAAGAAGTATTTATACAGCACAAAAAAGAATACAAATTGACAGACTAGTCGTCGTCAGAGTCCAACGAGAGGTCCTTGTCACTTTCCACGGACTACAAGTCGTCTTCGGTTCCGTCCAAGGCGTTGGAGATGCCGCACTTCTTAAACGAGTGGGCGACCATTGCCTGGGGAAGTGCCTTCCATGCGTCGAGCACCCACTTGGCGAGGTCGTTGAGCGCCGCTCTTTTGAGACGTCCTGCTGGCGTCAGAGCGTGCTCGCCGTCGATGAGCCACTTGTTGTAGGCAGCCCGGACGCGATCCTTTATTGGCTTGTTGAGGCACACGTCCAGGGGCTGGAGTTGAGATGTCATTCCGCCTGGAATGACAACGAGATCGGTGCGGCACACCGCGAGCTTGTCTTTCACACGCTGGGTGATGTGACACCTGAAAGAGTCAAACACTAGCATGGCCCGCACGGCTAGATCAGCTCCTGGCCTCTTCCTCCAGACGGAGTCAATCCAATCGACCATCAGGTCCGTGTCTATCCACCCTTTCGGGTGCACTCGGACGATCACATTCGCGGGGAATGCCACGTTTGCCGGCAAAGTCTTCCTTTTGAAGATCAAATATGGATTCAGCTTGTGTCCGTCGGCCGTGCAACAGAGCATCGCTGTCACCCTGTTTTTCTCGTTGCCGGAGGTCAGTATCCTCACTTGCGTAGCGCCTTTCGTCTCCACCGTGTAATTTGACGGCATGTCAAAAAACATGGGCGTTTGGTCTGCGTTGCCGATTTGCCCAGCGATGTAGTTGTTTGTGCGGCGGAGCATAATCACAAACCGCTGGAATGCCACCAGCGTCTCCTCATAAGCTTCTGGGAGCTTCTGGCAGATGCTGGTTTTTCGCCTCAACGAAAATCCCTTCCGCTTCATAAACTTTGTGATCCAGCTCCCGCTGGCTTAGAAGCTGGTCCGTGGGATCCTGAACCTCAGAGCCAGTTGAAGGGCTTTCACCTTGATGATGTCGGAAGATACGGGCAGCTGATTTGTGCGCAGTTCCTTGACGAAGTCAGAAAGTGCGCGCTCCAGTTCGGGGAAACGTCCTCGCTGAGGGCCATTAAAACCCTTCCTGGTGGCCTTGCACGCAAAAATGCAGTTTCTCTGTTTCCGCCACTCGCGAACACGCGTCTCGGGGACCCCCAAGACATGGGACGCCGCTCGATTTCCCTCTTTTTCGGCAAGCAGAATCACTTTTCGTTTGAACGAAGCCTCGTAGCGAAACCGCTTCTGCTTCTCCATTTTGAAGTTCGACAACGACAAAAGCAAAATGGCAAAGCAAGCGAAGGAAGAAAACATGTGATGACGTATGGATTGGATTGGATTTAGAATTTACACAATCCAGTGAAAGCCCAGCGATCCAGTGTCCATTACGATGCCGGTAGCCATCTGACGCCGAGTTTGTTTTTCCACTTTTTTTTTCGGTTTCGATTGTTACGCGCATGCAATTTAGAGGATAATTTTTTCGGATAAAAAGTGTGCGTTAGAATCGTGCAAATATGGTACCACAAATCCTGACTGACCCGTCCTTCTTTGCAACCGGCACGATTGGAATTGCCCGCTCTGAGTGTGCCACTGGAGACAGAACGCTGTTCTTCACTAGCCTGTCGAGCTTGTCAGAAACCTGGTCCCTCATTGCACACAAAAGGGATCTGGCCTTGAAGAACCTTGGAATCAAACCCTCCTTGACATACTGGTGAGCAGGTAGAACCTCGAACAGACCTAGCGTTGGCTCAAACACCTCTTCATACTCGGTCAAGATTTTCTGTGGACCCTCCTCTTTGCCTTGGCTTTTTTAGTTACACACACTGAGAACAGGAATTCCCAAGTTGTTTAGCACTTTGATCAGGTCTCGGCCAAACGAGCAAGGTCCTGGCCGGCAAAGTACAGTCATCGACGCTGTGACAGTCTTGTGGGCATAAGGAACAGGAAGTGTGAGCTTACCAGCAATAGGCAGTGGCCCCAAACAACAAGACAACTTCAGGGCTGACTTCTCGAGTCTTGGCCATCTCTGCCTGTGATTGTTGTAGACGTCCCAGGATATCACGCACACAGGTGATCCCGTGTTGATTTCCGTGATAGAACGGCTCTGCCCCAACAGAACTTGCACCAAACTGGACTGACGATCTTGTTCTCCTCGATCGGATTCTTTTTCAGGGACAGTAGCTGCTGTGAAAATGCTGTGTCGCCGTTCTCAGCAGAGTTCTCAGTTAGTGCGAACGTCCTCTGTTGTCGCTTGCCCTTGGAACGACACATTTTTGCTATGCGTCCTTTCTTTCCACACTGTAAACACTCGGCATTCTCAAACGTGCAGGCCATCTCCAAACGTTCCTTGCTGCCGCACCGTTCGCACGCTAGCGATGGTCCACATTTTTGCTTGCTGTACTGCCTTTGCGGTCCTGGTTGTTGCTTACCTGCCAACTTGTGCAATTCCGGCTCTTTTTTCATGTCTGAAGGCTTCATGAGCTTGACACCTTGTCTAGCGGCCTCCGCTGCTAGCACAATGTTCTCCATTTCCTGCAATGTCAACTTGGGCCTAGCAAGCAGTGCCTTCTGAACGTCAGTATTTCAAATTCCACGCACTATCTTGTCTCGTAGCATGCGGTCTAACATGTTGCCGAAGTTGCATTTTTTGCCGAAGTTTCACAATGAACTGGTGAGATGTCTCATCCTCGCTCTTAACCCTTCAAAAAAATTTGGAACTTTGTTTGGTTTCGGTGCATAAAATTCTTTGAGAATTTCAATCGCTTGAGCGTAGGTTAACTTTTTAACCTTCTTTGGTGCTCAACGTCCACTCAAGACGTCGACTGCTCTTGACCCCAGTGCCAAAACGAGAAGTGCTCTCTTCTTTACATCGTTCACAATGCCGTTTCCCTCGTAGTAGGACTTAGTGCAGATAATATACAAAGTACACTTATCTTTCGTGTAGTCAAACTGTGGTACTTGGCACGTCATCGCGGCAGACTCGGAGTTGCGTCCGTTGACTTAAGAAGCTGGTTGGGAACTCGTCGCCATTGCTGGACATTACTCAAGACGTTGCTGAAGCTTTTTAATCTACAGTATTTACTACAAGGTAAATTCATTGTTTTGACGAGACATCGGCAGATCATTGAGACCGCCGAGTTTGATCTGGCTCGCACGTCCGCTCATGAGACCCTTCTTTGTCGTCAGCACTGGTGCATTCCCATGCACATGGAAACGAGATGATGTCTGAGAGGCAGCATGGCATAACAGAAAATAGACAGTTTTCTATAGCCTTGAGCTTTATTAATTTTTATTTTTTCAGAAAAAGCTCACAGGGCAGAGTGGATGAAAAAAGAAAAGAAAAAGATGCAGCACGCCGTCTTAGATGATCGCAACTTTAACACACAAATTTACCGATAGGACATATCATGCCACACACCTTTTCTATGATTACAAAAAACAATCTAGTCTTAGCAGCGATATAGCACCGTAGAAATATTTCGTGATCACACAGGCTTTACGAGCGTTCAGAAATGCTAACACTAATCACTTTTCTTGGGTGATGAAAACGCGTCAAGATTTGCATCCTTCATACATGCCATTAAATACAGTACGTACCAGTAATACCTTGCAATTCCATGCATATACGTGGAATGCACAAAAATAAGAAATTTGGGCGATGTTTGAGAACACAAATGCTAAAAAAAGTACCACTGTAGTTGAAGTAAACAAGATGACAGCACGAGCGTTTCTGCTGTCTTGAGGGTGCTGCCACAACATCGCTGCACGAGCAGATGGATCTTTCCTTCTAGGACGTGCTGGGTTATCATCGCGACATATGACCAGAATTCACAGTCAAAGATAGCGCTCTACGCGGAACAATGAGCTTCCACCACGCCGACCACATCAATGTAACCACTGATGCCATGTTTTTCAGCAGATGCTGAAAAACATGCAGATAGCAGGAACTGCAACCGGCATTCAACGCGCGCGGCCGAGCACTCCTCGACTTGTGATCAGTCTGTCGGTGCAGTCGCTCCGTTCGTTCCCGAATGCAGTGAAGAAGTTTAGCCCGGCTCAACTTCTTGTGTTGCAAACGAGCACAAACGAAATGGTCGTTTGGCACTTTGTTGCCATGGCAACTCGTCGTTCGTAAGCGTAGTGGTCACCCTGAATGCAAATGTGTGAATGGGCCTTGAAGCTGAGAGAACCTGGCACCCTCGACATTGACCTTGACGTCGTCCTAGAGGTCATCCTTGAGGTCGTCCTAGATGTTGTCTTTGAGGTCGTTCTTAACGTCATCCTCTAGGACATTGTCCTAAACGTCGGAGAGAATATCGTCGGTGTGTAGGCATCGACGGTCTTAACCTGGGAGGGAACGCATTAGACGTTAAGGTCATACTGGGCGTGAACCTGAAGCAGCACATGGAAAACAACGTTATTGAGTGAAGAATGGACGTGCTGGTGTGATCAAGCAATCTGCGCCGTGCGTCCGCTAGAATGTGCTTGGTTCTAGTTGTTCTGTGTGGTATCAGTTGTGGGTTACGTGAGACCCGGTGTCTTCGTTGGCAGCTTGCTACGAGGTTCTTCAGTTGTCGTACCCAGACAGCGACCTGTTTGTCTTCAAGGTGTGCGCTACGGGCCTATGCAGTGTTCATGCATAGGCACATAGCAGACATGTAGCAATCACCGTGCGACACAAAACAGAAAAAAAAAGTCATCATCGTGCGGCACAACAAACAAGAAAAATTAAATTTCACATCATTGCGCAATGCAACATCACCCAAATTTCTAGTCAATCACGATGCAATATTATTGAACTGTCGCAACAACCGATGCTGTCCATTTGGATCACGTTGCATTATCGTGCATGCAATTCTTTTATTTACCCGGTGAAGTAAAGAAGAACAACCCAAATTTGGAACATCTCTTGCAAAGTTGACTGTCGCATGCCGCCCATCAAATTTTAAATTTAGGATAATTCGGTTTTTCAGTACGTCTTGAACTTGGTTGACCATTTTAATAACCATTTGGACAGAATTACATTACGATATTTGACACATGAACTTCCTAGGTGATATCGAAGAATTGCGTTGGTTTCTCAGTAGAAGAAAAAAAGCGGAGTTGTCCTTTGAAATGTATCTTTGTTTACTCGTGGAGTGCCCATGCTTACCTATGGGATATGTTCTGGGCCCAGGGTGACCCCACGCTGATCCTGGAGTACCAGAAGGACCTGCGGGAGGAGTGCGCCAAGTTTGGGGAGGTCAAGAAGGTGGTGGTCTACGATGTGAGTGCCCTCTTGCATCTTCTGCTTGCTGGGGCCTGGACAACTGCTGTCATGTTTAGAACCCAAGATTATAATATACTTGTTGAGCTAGTAGTTGATGCATGATCCTGAGGAAACTTGTAAGCACAAACAGAGAGGGACTCAAGGAAGTAAGTTTTGTCCACATCCCCTTTTTCATGTCCGTCTTTGTTTACGCGTACAAGTTCCCCAGATTATTTTTCCTTTTTACAGCAAAGCTGTTATGCTCTAGGATCTGGGAAAAAATGTGTCTGGATGTTGGCAGAAAACTCCCCATTGGTCGTGGCAAGTATGAATAAATAAAAATAAAAAGAGGGGGCAACCTGCATAAGTCTGCCTTCCTTGGCATTATCAGATGGTGGGGGCCTGATCCCTTGTTATCACCTCTAGGCATCGTCCTCGAGGCTGCCCTAGAAGTCATCCTTGAGGTTGTCCCAGGCATTGGACTCGAGGTCGTCCTTGAGGTTGTCCGAGAGGTTGCCCTAACCGTCCTCCTAGAAGTCTTCCTCGAGGTCGTCCTAGAAATTGTCCTTTCGGTCGTCCTCAAGGTTGTCCTAGAAGTCATCCTTGAGGTCGTCCTAGACGTTGTCTTCGATATCGTCCTCGAGGTCGTCCTAGAAGTCGCCCTTGAGGTCGGCTGAGAGGTCTTATTAGGCGTCGTTTTCGAGGTCATCCTAGACGTCCTAGAAGTCAACCTTGAAGTCACCCTTGAGGTTGTCCTAGACGTTGTCCTCTAGGCGTCGTCCTCGAGGTCGTCCTTGAGATTGTCCTAGACGTCCTCTAGGCATCGTCTTAGACGCCGTAAAAATAACAGCTCCGCTGGCTCTTCATGTGAAGTGGAAGGGCTCTACAATTTTTTTCTTTGGCAACAGACTCAGTGGCGTCACCTACTGGGTAAACCCGGCACACTTCCGGTTCGCATACCTTTCCCAATATTTACTCATCATTCTTTTATCATAAGAGCGAATTAAGTCTGACAGTGCTATAAATGGCCATTTCCAGAAGATAGCGTGTATATTTGATTTCGCAAATACTGCGAAACCCGCTGCCTAGCTCAGAGTTCAGATTCACGAAGAGCTCCTTAGGCTACGACAACTTATCTAAGAAGTTAGTAAGTTACGAGTATCATAAAAAGAGGAGAAATTGGTATATTCACTAACGTGTCCTAAGTGAGAAGAGGAAAGCAACGTTTTGTATAAAAAACTAGAACTTCCGATGTCTCGCAAGCTCCCAATCACCATAAGAGCAGGCTGTTACTATGGCGACAGCGTCTCCGGCAACACACAACCAATCGGAGGGCTCAGCGTAGTTTGGAGCGTTTAGATTTTGAATAACAAACACAGGCGGCCTTTCCGCCAACGCTTGTCTGGGGATCGTGTCTGTGCAGTGAAATGTTGACGCTACCCCGATTTATATGGGCTCGAATGCCGAGACCGGGATAACCGCCTTCATCGACTGCTACGAACCCTATCGCTACAAAGTCAACAGAACCGTCATCGTTGCTAAAAGAAGACAGCCCGCGCCGCTTTTTTGTGAAGAGGCGTAGATAAAAACTAACTGCTGCAGCATTTTTCGCGACCTTGGAGGTGCAGGAGTGAGCCGACATCCAAGAAGATACATTTGAACTATGGGAGTGTTAGCAAGAACCACGTTAATACCTGTTCACACTCAAAGCCAGTGGTGTATCCAGCGGAGGGCTTATGGAGCTTCAGCCCCCCCCCCCCTTCGAAAATCTAGCTAGCCCTATAATATGCACATGCATTTTGACCCCCCCCGCCACGCAACCAAGAAGCAAAAGTACAGACACCCTCCAATGGCATCGGTACTAACAGCGACATTAGACCACATGGAGAGAAGCTGCCCCTTCTGGAAATCATGCGCTCATAAAACCGCTGACTGTGCATCATCAATGAACAACAATAAATGCAGGCATGTACTGAAGGCAGGAGGCCATTGCTATTGTTGCACATGGAAAGCCCATAAAAAAATAGTGTAGGAGCACAAAGTGGCTGAAGTGCACACACTGCACAGTGAGAAAGACATGTCAGTGGTATGTGCAACCCAAAGTTCAGCACGTAGCAGAAAGCAAGGGTGAAAAAGAAAATTAGGAAGCCATAAAATATTGATTTTGGGAAGAGTGACCCACTCCAGTCGATGTTCAAAACCACGGACGAAAAAAAGAACACCCTACAATGTGTACTACTGCAGATGGCTCAATTCCCGGGCACAGGGTAAAAGACAGTGCTGTCTGATCAGGACTTTCATTAACGGCAGAAGCCGACATACTCTTATCTGTCTAAATATCTCAGGGAGACTTCATCTGAAAGAAATGGGCAAAGAGGACTTTGATCCCCTGTCATTGACACAGAATGTCCTGGCCTGCTTGACTTTTCTCTGCTTTTCATCTTATTGTTAATGAAGTCCAGGGAAGTCTCAGAGCGTACTGTGCTGTATTGCCCCTCGCAAGGTGGATCTCTGGTTGTACTCTAGGCCAGGGGTTTCCCTGGGAATTAAAATTAAGGGGGGGTGCTGTATTTCTAGGAGTCTGGGGGTGGAGAAGGGGAAGGGGTAGGCAGGCACAAGGAGGCAATTTCTTTTAATGCGAAAGCGTTAACTGTCCCGTGGAGCGAACTGACATCAACAGCTTTGAAACTGCGCCAAACGGCACCTTCCCCCGTCCAGATGTCGTCTGTAGCAGAAATCTGATGAATAGGCTCCCATTGGCTGGCGAGCGTCATCGAGGAACGAGGCTCCCATTGGCTCTCGTGTGGCATAATTCTAAGGGACGCCACCAGAAAAGCCCTCCCTATGGCGAGGTGCAACGGTACGGGCCTGGCCGCAAAGCCTGCCCGTACAGGCTTCGGAGAGGTTGTACGGCTGAGCTCAGTGCGGCGCGGCCACTTTCATGGGAGCGTGCGCTTGTTTGTCGGCCGGCGAAACGTGGCCGTCCACGCCACTACTTTGCAGACAAATTAAGGGAGCGGAAGAACGGCACTCATGCTTTCACTTTCATAACTCATAAATGCTTAGGTGTGCTCGGACGTTTTTTCTGATTACTTCACTCTTTTTCCACTGATTTCTTCCGTGTTGGGGTAGAGATGCATGCTTGGTGCCGGACAGTGTTTATGGAATTCTACATTAAACATCAGAGTTGAAACATTTAATGACGAATGTCTAAATTTAAAAAAAAAAAAACAAAAAACATAGGCCTAAATTTCAAAAAAAATTTTTTTGAAAACATTTGTTTTTTTATTTTTTAGGTTTTCGGCTTTAGAAACTAATTATACACTCTTACACTAAATTTGATAACCATACGCCAAATAGTTACGTTGATATAAAATATTTTCAACACATTGTGAGGCAGTAACAAAGTAAAGGAGTTCAATGTTTGAGTGCTTTTTTCTCAGTTCCACTTTTTGCTGCAAATTTCACACGAAGGAATCTTTTGTTCGAAGGTAAAAGTATTCTGATACCACAATCATGATGTTTCTGAACTGAAATTTACTGCGGAATCAAGCTACCTACTTTATTTTGTTTTAAGTTGAAGGAAAAAAAAACTACTGGTATGTTTTCCAAAATTTGCATAGCACAGATATGCATCTCATATTTTGAGGTAATCACTCTTCCTGAAATATTTACATTTGAGTTATAAAAACTAGACAGCCCGAAATCCCACATCCCCCACTTTATATTCTAGCAGTCAAAATGGTGCTTAATAACTTCATTTGCATATCATATATTTCTTAAAGAAGAGTGACACATGTTCTTATGCTGGTATGTAAAGTGGTTATAGAGAGCCTAAAGTTTGCACAGTACACCTACATCTGACGTTAAATCTCCCCTGCAAATTTCCTTCCGATCACTTGAGTAGTTCAGAAGTTAAATCTTTAGGCTGTGTCCCCCCTGAAGAAAGCATGAAGTAAGGCAAAAAGCAATGTCAGAAAATATCAGTCACGGTGTCAATACTGTGATACTGCAATGAATGTCAATATCAAAAATATATTGAAGAAGAATCTGCCAGCGCAGAAATGTTTCCACTATTTTGAAGAATCGTCAGCGAAAGTAAAAGCTTTCTCTTTCCGATGCGAACACATATCAGAACAGGTTGTCTCACTGTATAAAAAATGAGCCGTCAATATTAATAAACGAGAGTCACACTTTGTCTTCCGACGTAACAAAGACGACAATAGGAAATACAATCTCTGGTACCACATTGATCAAAAGTTCTAAACAAACTTTTTAGGTATTTCTTATTAATTACAAACATGGAATACAGTAGACTCCCTTTAAGACGAACACGAAGGGACTCTGAAAATTTGTTCGACTTATCAGATGTTTGCCTTAACATTAGTGCCCTAATTATCACGCTGGGCATGTCTAAATTGCTGTTGGCCAATAAACACAGAATGAAAAGGCCTGCAATGGAGAGATACTTAAAAAGAGACATTTATTTGGTTTACCATGCCAACAGAAGAAAAGCAATAATGTTTCACACACAACTGGTGGGGGAACCGATCCATTCGGCGATTTTTGACTCTTTCCTCTTTTGTGCAAATCGGTGTCTAGCGATGAAAGATGACATGTGGCCCATGTTCCTGAGAAAACATGGGCCAGATGTCGTAATTGAACCTTAACCACTGTTATCACGTCCATCAGACTCCTTGTCCGACGCCTCCTCCCAAAGGCAGTAAGTAGTCTTCAGTGCCGTCGAGCGCATTTGAAATTCTGCTCTTTTTGAAAGAGCGAGCGACAAGCATGCGCCGACACAGTGAAAACCTGGCGCGGCGCACGAAGCGAGTAACCCAATGTCGGCTCGCCAAAGTTCTCATGCAGCAGCTCAATGTTTACGGCGAGGTGCCATTCACGTTGCTCTTTTACAAAGTCGCCGAGACTTGCCTTGACGTTGGCGAACACGCCATTTTTTGGGCTCCTAAAGCTTCTTCTTGTTTCATTGCACGCGAACAGAGCTTGCTTTTGTTGTC